TACCATTGGGAAAGATATCTCCAGAAGGACACTTCAACCCCATGGAAAGGCCCTATCAGGGACTGTTAACCAACCCTTGTGCTGCCAGACTTCAAGGAATATGCTCTTGGATCCAGGTATCACATCTAAGCAAGTGCCAAACCCTGACTGGATACACACCATCTGGTGACCTGAAAGTAAAGATTCCGGAAGTTGAAACAGATGAAGCTAAAGGAGACTGCTTTCCCAAGGTGACCAGACCAGGCCTGTATGCCTTTTTCTTGCTGCTGCTTATTTAATTTCTTCCTCTCTTGTTCAGGAGGACAGCGTTCTGATCCATATTTCCCAATCTATTGCAAAAAGGGGAAACCTCTCTGACTGTCGAATCCGTCCAGAAACTGAAAGGTTCATTACGTCAGAGATCCCTTGGTCTTGTGTGTCACCGGTTGTCTCAGTCCCAAATGCCACTGTGGATTCTGCCTGCCAAGTCTGTGGGTGTTACCTATCGGATTAGGCTATTTACAGCCAGGTGTTCTCACACCTTGTTTCAAACTTCCTCCAGCCATAATCGTACTAGGTCAGCCTGACACCTGCATCACTGCCAATCGTATGACATTTGCACCCCCCACATTCTCTTCCCTATCTAAATACAGACCATTCCCCTGCAAGGGAGATACAGATGGGCCAGCTGCTCTTTGGAAGGCTTTCAGAAAAGACCCTTTCAGGATGGGATGGTACTTCACAGAATGTCATGCCAATTACTCTGATTCCTGCTTTGAAAAGCTCAATCAGGGGCGCCTGGTTAGCTCGGTCAGTTAAGTGTCTGCCTTCAGCTCAGGTCATGATCCCAGGGTCCTGGGATCGAGTCCCATATTGGGCTCCCTGCTCAGTGGGGAGTCTACTTCTCCCTCTCCCTCTGCCTCTTCCCCCCCCCACCCTGCTCATGTTCGCTCTCTCTCTCTCTCATGCTCTCTCTTTCAAATAAATAAATAAAATCTTTAAAAGGAAAAAAGGTCAATCAGGGAATGCCAGCTAATGGATCTATTACTAAGCAGACCTTAGCTGGGGACCTCTGCACCCCACCTGGTTTCATTTTTGTCTGCAGTGGATGGTATTTCCCATGGGCATATGAATGTTTAGATAGCTGGCGAGTTGGAGGTCAGTCCTTAATGGGATGTTTAACTGTCCCTGTCAACATCCATAATAAATCAGAAGCCTCCCGGTAGTCTACCCCATTAAAGCTCCATAGCCACCTGAAACGGGAACTTCCAGGAGGTATGCATGCCTGATTATTGCAGGTAGGCCTCCATTGGAAGAGCTAGTCTGCTCCACAGCCAAAGCAGCAGCTGTCCAGCAATGATCACTTGACTCATTGGCTGAAGTAGTTTTGGACAGTCACATGCCCTTAGTTACCTACTTGGTACACAAGGAGGTGTTTGTGCAATTGCGGATACTCCCTGTTGTATGGAACTTCAAAAGACCCAAATAGCCAAAGCAATCTTGAAAAAGAAGAACAAAGAGAGAGAGATTCTCAAGCAGACTCTGTGCTGAACGTGGAGCCCAGTGTGGGGCTCAGTCTCACACCCCTGAGATCATGACCTGAGCCGAAATCAAGACTTGGACACTTAACTGACTGAGCCACCCAGGCGCCCCTGTCCTGCTACTTTTAATTCTACTCTGTAATTTTAAGTTTTGTACTTGCGGCCTGTCAAACCTTTGTAGAAATGATGTACCCTATAAGGTGACACTGGCTCAGTGCTTCGAGTTGATCTCGTGTGTACAGCCTTGACAAGATATAGCCTTTGGATGGGAAATGCCTGAGAGTTCTCCCTCCTAACCTTCTTGTTACTCAAATGGGGCCTTATTGGTTTGTAACTGCTATGTATTTTCCCTCCGATGTGGGATGTGATAACCGGGAAAGGTCCTTCATGGCACCAAGGGACAAAAACAGTTAATACAGAGGACTCAACTCTTGATCAGGTATGCTTTTGGAGAAAGATCTTGATCAAAAGGGGGAAATGTGAAAATAAAGGGGAACTTGATTTAGAATGGAATCCGAAAGCCCTGGAGGGGAAGCTCTCACACACACGAACTTTCTATCACAGCTTACTTCATATTTCCAGGCAGGAAGAATTTCACTTTACTGCCTCAGCAGGAGGAAGGTTTTCTCCTTGCCCAGCAGTTGCCTAGCCAATGAGAAACCTGTCACCACCCTGAACTCTGGCTTTCCTCCAAGAGACTTTTGTTCAAAGCATTCCCTCCTTTCTTCCTCCTTTTTCCTCTGTAAGCTTCCTCTCCTTTGTTCTCCAGACTCTGCCTGGGGTTTGCTATAGCTTGCATGACTCAAATTGCAATTCCTCTGCTATTCCTGAATAAACTCATTTTACTGGTAAAATAACTGGCTGTTTTATTTTTAAGATTAACAGATGGAATGTTCTGTAAATGTTGGTTAAGTCCATCTGGTCCAATGTGTTGTTGAAGTCCAGTGTTTCCTTATTGATTGATTTTCTGTCTGGATGATCTCCATTTTTGAAAATGGGGTATTAAAGTCCCCTGTTGTGATTGTACTGCTGTCTAATTCTCCCTTTTGAGGTCTGTTAATATTTGCTTTATACGTTTATGTGCTCTGATGTTGGGTGCATCAATATTTACAAATGCTCTATTTTTTGATGAATTTACCTTTTTAGTATCATATGATGAACTTCTTTGTCTCTTGTTAGTTTTTGGCTTAAAGTCTATTTTGTCTGATGTATGTATAGCTACCCCTACTTTGTTTTGGTTGTTTGCATGGAATATCTTTTTCCATCCCTTCACTTTCAGTCTGGTGTGTCCTTAAAGCTAAAGTGAGTGTTTTGTAGGTAGCATATTTATGGATCTTGGTTTTTCATCCATTCAGCCACTGTGTCTTTTGATTGGGGGAATTGAGTCCATTTATATTTAAAGTAATTATTGATAGGTACAGAATTACTTCCACCATGTTGTTGTTTTCTGGTTGTTTTTGCAATTCCTTTGTTTCTTTCTCTTACTCTCTTCCTTTGTATTTTGATGATTTTCAGTAGTGGTATCATTGGGTTTCTTTTTTTTTTCAAGATTTTATTTATTTGACAGAGAGTATGAGCAGGGGGAGGGGCAGGTAGAGGGAGAGGGAGAAGCAGGCTCCCCATTGAGCAGGGAGCCCAATGTGGGGCTCGATCTGAGGACCCTGGGATCATGACCTGAGCTAAAGGCAGACACCTAACCAACTGAGCCACCCAGGCGCCCCTGGGTTTTATCTTTTGTGTATCTACTGCAGGCTTTTGCTTTGTGGTTACCATGGAGCTTACAAACAAGGTATGTATAACAGTCTATTTTTTTTTTTAAACTTATTTATTTGAGAGAGAGTGGGCAAGCAGGGCAGTGGGCAGAGGGAGAGGGAGAGAATCTCAAGCAGACTCCCTGCTGAACGTGGAGCCCAATGCGAGGTTCAAACCCACAACTCTGAGATCATGACATGAGCTGAAATAGTCAGATGTTTTAACTGACTGAGCCACCCAGGCGCCCCTATAGTAGTCTATTTTAAGCTCATAACAACTTATGTTTCAATATATACAGAAGCTCTACATTTATACATTGCCTCCACATTTTGTTTTTGATATTCATTTGCAAACTATATAGTTATTTTTAGTACTTTTGTCTCTTAATCTTTTTTTTTTTTTAAGATTTTTATTTGGGGCGCCTGGGTGGCTCAGATGGTTAAGCGTCTGCCTTCGGTTCAGGTTGTGATCCCAGGGTCCTGGGATTGAGCCCCACATCAGGTTCCCTGCTCGGCGGGAAGCCTGCTTCTCCCTCTCCCTCTCCCCCTGCTTGTATTCCTGCTCTTGCTGTCTGTGAAATAAATAAAATCTTTAAAAAACCAAAACAAAAAAACCAAAAAACATGTAAGGCTGGTCTGGTGGTAATGAACTCCTTTAGCTCTTGCCTGTCTGGTAAACTCTCTCTCTCCTTCAGTTCTGAAGGACAACTTTGTGGGGATGGTATTCCTGGTTGGCAGTTTTTTCTTACCAATTGAAATAGACCATACCACTCCCTTCTGACCTGCAAAGTTTTTGCTAACAAATCTGTTCGTAGTCTTACGGGGTTTCCTTTGTATGTTACAAGGTTTTCTTTTCCTGCTTTAAGAGTCTTTAACTTTGGACACTTCAATTATACTGTGTCTCAGTGTGCATTTCTTTAGATTGATACTTTTTGGAACTCTTCAGGCTTCCGGGCTCTCTGACAGGATGAATTCCACTGGCCTGTTTTCCAAGTTTGCTGATGCTTTCTTCTGTTTGATCTAGTCTGTTGTTGACCCCTCTACTGAATTTTTCAGTTGTTATTGTGTTCTTCAGCTGTATGATTTGATACTTATTTTCTCTTTGTTGAAATTTTCAGTTTGTTCATGTGTTGTTCTGACCCCCATGAGCATCTGTATAACTGTTAATTTGAACTCTTAGGTAAGTCACTTATTTCTATTTCATTAAGGTCTGTTTCTGGAGTTCTGTTCTTTTGTTTAGAACACACTCCACCATCTCTTCATTTTCCTTCATTGTGTGTTGGTTTCTACCCTTTTAAACAGCCACCTATCCCAGTCTAGAGTGGTCTTGTGGAGGTGAACCTCCTCAGTTGGGCTGGCCCAAGCCCTTGGTTGCTTCTTAAATTTTTGTGATTGTCTAAGACAACTTTTTTTGTTCTTGGTGCTTCCTACTAGTTGAGTGTTTGTCAAGACTGCTTAGCGTTCCAGTGGGTAAGATCACAGCACATAGATGCAGTTTGATTAGAAGCCAGATTCTCAGATAGCAGCTGGGAAAATATGTAAGTTACACCTCTTTTGGGGATAAACAGTGAGATGGGTGTTTTTCCCATCTTCCCTAGGCCAAGTTCCTCTGCACTTGGCTGAGGTATTTAGCCATGGCCGGGGAGGTGGGGGAGTTGGGGGAGTGTTGCTCCTGCGCCCATTAAGAACTGCTTCTTCCTTTTTTTTTTTTTTTTTTTGCTGCAGTCCCGTGGAACTCCTGAATGCAAGCAGCATTGGGTCTCAGAGCCAGGTATTCCAGGGATATGTTGGGTGGCAGCTACTAAAACTGAGGCACAATGTGCATAACCTTCCAGGGAGATACGTGTGCTTTGGAGTGGGCTAGAGGGGAACAGATGGAGGAGGCATCCACTGGCTTCCCTGTTCTCTGCTGGCAATAGGAGGCAGCCCTTAGAGGTGTGCTCAGTGTAGAAGCTGGACTCTGAGGCAACAGCTTTTAATATATGCAACCAGATCCTTTTCAGGGAAAGATCAGGAGCTAGACCTCTAGGGCTGGTTAAGCACTATTTCTTTGTTAGTTTTCTGGGTCTGGTCTCGTGGATACAAGCCCTATTGGCTTTAAGAATTAGGTTTTTTCAGGGACCTGGATGGCTCAGATGGTTAAGCATCTGCCTTTGGCTCAGGTCATGATCTCCGGGTCCTGGGATTGAGCCCCTGTCTGGCTCCCAGCTCAGCAGGGAGTCTGCTTCTCCCTCTCCCTCTGCCTCTCCCCCTGCTTGTGCTCTCTCGGTCTCTGTCTCTCTCCCAAATAAATAAATAATATCTTTAAAAAAAAAAAGTTAGCTGTTTTAGGAGCCCATCTCTCAGTCTTAAAAGTTGAGGTGCTAAATGTGGGGTCTAAATGCTCAGGGAGAACCTTGCAGTTGGCAGCTTCCAGCTGATTGTGTGGCATCATGTTGGGGTTGGGGTTTATGGTGAGGGCTTGGCTCAGCTTTTCCTGCCCATTTCAGTGTGTGTATTTTTTTGATTGCCAAATGCATAAGAGTAGCTCAGCTAGTTGGATTTTTTTCATCAAAAATTAATCTGGGTGTAGTGGCAATACATTTGCTGTATTCTAGGGAGGAGTTCAAGGGCCTCCTGTGTCACCATCTTGGGCCAGAACCCTCAGCTAACTTCTTAACACGTTTTAATGTGACTCAGTTTTTCCCCACCTTGTATTTTCAAAGACCTTGTATAAGTAACTCATTGCATACTTGTTTTATAGCTTGATTTTTCAGTCAACTTAAATTCTAAGCAGCATTCTTAATATTCCACATCAGGACAGATCCCATTCAAAGAGAAGACATTTCTTATATACCTTTACAGATGGCTGCATCCTCTAGAAGGGCTATGGATGCGTGATGTGTCATGTGAGAACTCCCCTGCCTGCTCCCACCTGGACAAGACCCCCTGAATGCATCTTTGTTCAAATCTTCCCCAGGTGGGTCAAGTTCAAATATCAAAACAGTGAGGAAGGCTGGGGGACAGGTTGGAAAAAGGATGTTCTTGGGCCAGCCTGACTTAACTCTAATTGTATTTTTGTTTCCTCAAAACTTTCTGTAATTTTATTCATCCTAACACTCATTTTGAAATTTTGCACAAACATCTGAGAACAGATGAACCCCACACTGACTAGAGAAAGAGGTCGTGCTTTAGGAGAAGATACTAACAAAGGGATCGTTTCTTTTAAATCTTCTAAAAGTAGGACTATCCTAGCATTAAAAAGCCCTGAAAGGATTTTTTTTCAAGTTTTTTATTGTGGAATCTTTAGTTGTCATTTTTTAATGGACTTAAATTGTGACTTTATTTTCATCTCTTTACCAATCTGGAAGTCAAGTTTCACAAGGCCGAGTTAGAGAAATGAAAAATTGCTGCTGCACCCTCTAGAGGTTCCTATACCCTGTGGCAGGATTACTGTCAATTATTAAGAGACTGCATGTGGGGCGCCTGGGTGGCTGTTGGTTATGATCTCATCTAGACAGGATTTACACACAGTTTGTTATGTAACTTAACTGCACAAAATGCTACAAAAACAGAAGGTATTAAGTAGTGTGACAAAGAGTATACTAATTGGGGTCCTGATCTTTTCCTGCCGAGGGTGAAGGAAGGTCGAGAATCCCAAGGTGGCACCTCATTGAGAAAATGGCAGTGTCTCAGTAAGTGACAAGAGCTGGTCCTTACTCAGGAAGTTCAGATGACGAAAATCCCAGTGCATAATCGTGCTAACAGGTAAGTAAACTGATAGTAAAATGAAATCCTAAGTAACAAACTTAGCTCTGCTGCTTTAGAGAGCTGTTAGATCTAGAGTTTTGTTTTTAGGAGCTAGATCTTTTCTACCTTGGGTTTGTAAAGGAGCCAGGGGTACATGGACCCTTCGGAAGGTTCGACATTGTTTTTTCTTTCCCCACACTTAAGCTTTGTGTTAATCCCATATGTATAATTGCTTTCATTTGTGGACGCTAGTCAGAAAATTTCTATACTTCACAGAACTATAAAGATGGTGGTAGCATCCACCTATAAACACGATTTCCATACACATGTGAAATCTTGATAATGCGTACTATTTAAAAATGACACCATACTAGAGACAGAGAAAGATAGTATTTATGTATGGTAAAAAGGCAAGTGAGTGAAGCTATACTTTTATTGCATTACTCTTAGTACATCCACAACTATTTCCACCTAAATAGATCTTTAAAATAAGCATACACAAGTATTGACTATTATCTACAAATATTTATTGTAACACTTGAATAGAACTACAGGAAGCCCTTGGCACTGATAGAAAATATTGATTCACTGTTAGGTTACAAAAATTTATACATAGCAAAATTTAATGCTCTTTACATAAAAAATATTAGACTACTTAAACAAAACTTTCAAAAATTCCTGGTAATAGCTACCAGAATTAGAAAAGTAAAATTAGGCTTGAGACACTGCCTGTTCTAGAACACTGGACTCTAACAGCACCTCCACTGCTGGAAAAAAAAAATTTAAGTCTGTCATGCAACAGGAAAACAAAACACGCTACTCTGGAACAACTGTTCTACACAAAAGAGAGCTTCTCCCAATTGAAAAAAAAAAAAAAAAAAGTCAAGATCCAAATAGGCATTTTTAGGCATTAACAACAACAACAAAAAGAATCCAAATGAAATATTATACTTGAAGTTCAATTTTAATAGCATCTTGATAAAGGTATGCTTCCTTTCATTTTAATACATTTCTGCACATGTATATGTTTTAAAATCCAGGAAACAGCCAAACCACAAGTTAATTCTTAACAGGAATATACATAGTTAACCCTATATTATGCAGCCCCTTTTAAAAAGCACTGATGCACCCAACAGTTATATGTATCATTTCATAAAGAACAACACAAAGTTTACCGTCACTAATACCCAATACCTATAATCACTTAATGTTCTGGAACACAATGGTTTAGAAGGCAAGTTTCTTTTGAAAATGGCTTAAACTCAAGCAGGTGTTTTTTTTTTGCTGAACATCGAATTTTTATTATTCCAGGAAAGACTTAAAAAAATGAAATAAATACCAACCCTAATTTAATTACTTAAGTATTCAAGTCTATAAAAGTAGGAGGAGGTCTGTGGTCTATTTGTAATTAGGTTTTAGATAGTTGGTATGAAACTGTAAACTTGCTATTCAGACCACATAAAAATGGTTTAGAATGGTGGTCATTTTAATAAGGTAACACTTCTTAATTAAGAAAAACCTTGGTGGAACAAAAGTCTATGAAGGATTTGGGTCTCCTGTTGTAAAATAAATTCTTAGAAATTTAAAACGAATACTCATTAAGGCAGAGCTGACATTTATTTCCCAGGAAGAATGACAACTGGGCCATTTTATTTAAAGGAAATCGATTTTGGAAAGCTTGTCAAGGAGTCCGAATTCAGCTTCTTCAGTAGCAGGTGTAGCAGAATTATAGTAGCTCCTTTTAGCATTATTGAAAAATAGATTTCTAATTGGATCAGGAAATTAATGTGGCCTGGACTCAAGGGGTAGGGAAGGCAGCTAATTTAAAAAAAGTCAATTGTTAAGAATCACATTATCTTTGAGCCAAAGTTTAATAAATGTCAGCTATCAGAAATGGAATGCCCCCCACCCCAATTCCATTTTATGCCCTATATAGGTAAAGTGACTGGAGGACAGATGGCGTCTGTGAATTGATGGTCACGTTCCTTGATGGCGGCACAGCCTCGGTCCCTCGCAGGGAATAGGCCAGAGTTCCATCGCCTCTCCTGGTAGGATCGCTCTACCAATAAACCTGAACATGCCACCAATTTCAGAAAGATCAACTATCCTTTTCTCAAAGTGTTGCCTTTTAAAATGGCTAACATGAAACCTCCAATATCTGCTCTAAAGAAAAAGCTTGACCTGCTGGAAGGTGTTCCTGGAAATACACCCCAGCAGCTCGAGCCGGACAGGGACGTGTTTAGGTTGTTTGGTGGGGTACACATCTGTACTGCAGGGCAGCGGTCTCAGGAGTGGGCAGAGCGGTCGGTTCGTCGGCCGTAACACTCTGGCAAACATTTATGTGTACGAATTGAGTTGTTCTTTTGACCGAGACTGAATATCTTGCAGTTCCTGTTCTTCCTTTGCTTTGATATCCTGGTAAGCCTGCATTTTGCTTGCATCCTTTAAGTAAGCCCAGTTAGAAGACAGTATCATGAGGAAGTGGATCTGGAAAAGAAGGGTGAGCATGATGGCTAGTGAGCATGTCAGAAGGCAAAGCAAGCTGCTAGGCAGATTAGACGGTCTTTACTGTCAAAAGGGAGAGGGTTATTCTGTATTAATTCTCATTCTGCTGTCAGAGCCATCAGATTCTGGAAGCATGCTCTACTAGTATGCTTAAGAGTAAGAGGCTGAAGAAAAGTTAGTATACAAACACGAAGAACTGAAAAAAATGGCCAAAGTTATGGTTAAGAAAAAGCAAAAATGAAATAGGAGAGGGTGGTTTTCGTTTGTTTGTTTTTTTCCATTTTGGGAGTAATTTTAACAACTAACACAGACGTTCGGAAACACCTGGTGTGCTTATTTTAAAATCAGTGCGGGGCAAAGATCTTTCCTCTCTGTGGATAAAAATCAGTTCCCCAAAGGCCTACAAGTGAATGATGCTTATTTTGAGTAACTCATCGACTACACAGTTAACATGGGAAAATTAAGACCTCTAAGCACAGCCTGCAGTCTGTGTGAGCACGTGCTTAGGGGCGCACCTCCAGTTTTCGTTCTAAGACTGCCATGCGTGCAGGTCCCAAATGTACAAATCCTTCTTCTTTACAGTGGGGGCAGCCAACACTTCTTGCCCACTCATTTTCCTCATCTTTCCTGCAAAATCTACATCTCCGGTTCCTCCTATTTCCTTTTCAACATATTTGAGACTTTCAGATCCAGGCACAATTTCTCTTCCCCTCAGAATCTGATGTGCGGTGTGAGACCTGGCTATGAGGAATCAGGGGCTCCGCACCGGAAACACAACAACGCCAGGTAAGGGGTGACTGGGTGGTGCAGAGAGCACACCCCACGTACAGATCCTGGTCTCACAGAAGGTAACAGGGTGCCCTTTATTCTTCACATTGTCCTCTAGCTGGCAGGCTAATTGGGGGGGGGCATGTATTTGGTAGTGAGCCATGTAATCAGAAAAAAAAGTTTTAAAAAAGTTTTAGTCAAATTTAAAATATGTTTGCCTTTTTTCCAGAGTCTAAGAAAACAAACAAAAAAAAAGTCCAGATGAAAACGCATCTCGCTGCCATCCCCTCTCCAGCACTGGTATTGGTTATCAAGCAAGCAACAATAACGGACAAGGCAGGTATTACAAAGTTTTAACACTTCATTTAGAGATACTGCTCAAAGTTCAAGAGAATTGTTTTTTAACGGATGCTCACCAAGGTCAGTACATAACTGAATTCTTTTCACAACGTGGAAATAGCCAGACCTCATCATTTTGTAATTCACTCAGGGTAAGGCATCTAATTAGGCTACAATGCAAAATGAGTGGACTAAAGCTATTTACAAATTACTGTCACCAAACTGCAGCAACCTAGACTCGGCTTTAGTCTGGGGCGTCAGGGAGATTTCAGGCTACCGAGGAGAGCTCCCTACAGCTCCTTGTTGGCCTTAAGCAATTTAGAATTTAGTGCAGCAATCTTCCCGACTCTTAAACTTCAAGACGGCATAGTTATAGGTAGTAGCCATCATGTAGATCAGCTGGTGGAAGAGAACAGAACACGACAGTAAGATACAGGCAGGCAGGGCGGGTGCCCGCTCAGGACCCCCCGCGTGGCTGCTTTCCCGTTTATAATCACCCGGAAGGGGTTCCTACGTAGCACACCAACTTCCTCTCACTTCACATACACGCTGCTAGTCCTGGGCTCTGCCCTCAGGCCGTTTATTACAAAGACTTGGAGGTGTTGAAAGAATCAGAGCGCCGGGGCAGCAGCCCGAGCCACGAAGCTCCAGGCCCCGTGTCCCCTGGTCTTCCTCAGCCTGCCTCTTCCGCCGGCCCCTAGCTCAGCAAGAGAACAGGTCGCCACCGGCATGGAACGGGCGGTTCTTTGCAGGGCCTAGGAAGGAGGAACTCCTTTCCAAGCTCATGCCATTTCCCTCTGGGTCTACCAGTCCTAGATCTCTCGAAATCCCAAACCGAGCCCTCCCGACTTCGAGCTGTACATGCAGAAGCACACATACAGAAACCCGGGGCTCTTGATAGTTGCTCCTCATTAGCTGTGGATTCCCGATTCGCCCATTTCCCTCCGTGCGACCATCCCTGCTTATGGCACGGTCACTGGTGGACACGTAGAGTGGGGCAAAGGTTTAGCCTCCCAGCTGCGGTCAACCAAGGCCCCACGCTGCCTGCTTGTCTCAGACTCTAACCAAGCAGCCTTGTTGCAGGCTAGTTAGTGCTAGGGGGTTTTTGCAGTTTTGTGACTTTGCTCTTTACAGGTTTCCTAACCGTAGTGCTGAATGAAGGGCTCTCGATGGTCTCCAGAGAGCAAGAAGGCTCAGGTCGGGGCTGCTAGAGTGCTGAGACCGGGAGTTCAATGTTAATACAGCTGTGGTCTATACTCAGTAAGATGTCTTTGAACAGAACCACATAAAGCAAGGTCAGGTGTTGTTCCGTTTGACAAAAAATGATGTGACCAGGCGCTGGCAGAAAATGAACCCTGTGTTTCCCCTCTAGAAACAGTGGCTCAGTGTTAGAGGAGACT